TTGTATGTATGATGCTAACTGTTTTAGTAAATTTGTATTTCTGTGGGTTTTTTTTATTGTACGCATTGTGGCAATTTAGCCCCTAGCTACAAACACAATGTATTAATAAACCAGAATAATATAATAATAATAATAATTCTCTTTCAAACCTGCTGGCACGACTCGAGTTGTTTGCTCATTATAAGGCCGCATCTTTCAGGCAAGGACGTTAATGCAATTATGTTATTTCATTGATTATATCATTTATTTACAGTACCCCTCTGTTAATTTTTAAATCATATAATGTAGAGTTATATGAAGTAACCGGTCAGGAGTGTATTGAGAATGAAGACCGAACATTCATATTGAATTCACCAGCGTTATATTTATATCAGAAAAAAGACCCGCCTTGCGAGAGCCGAATTATAACTGTCTGGCAGACAATCATTGGATGTTTGTAGAGAAATAATTCAATAACTAAACGTCGGTGGACTTTTTTGTTCGATGCCTCTTTCAAAAGTGAATAACTTTCATATTTAGGAAAATATTGCAGCTGAAAAAAAATCTATTTTTCGAGGTGAAACTCCTAAATAGCACAGGAAATGTATCTTTAATGTAGAAACTTTATGACATGGTTCATACTTCCATGTTTCGATTCAAATATTGTGTTACTCTGCGGAAAGCCATGACTAGCAGCCTGTACTTTAGATCGGTTAATCTCCTATTTTGATTTTTTTTACTTCATTGTTCACGTCCCATATTAGCCTGGTCGCATACCGCAAAGTCAAGCGTACTTTCTGTCAAGGGTCCAACAACATCGGGTAGTGGAGCTGGCAAACGCTTCAGGCCGGCGGGCCAATCATAAATACTGCCTCGGTTTCCATTCAGAACCGGCGCAGAAGTGACGGATTTGAGCGGATTTGGCCAGCGTGGGAAAACAGCCCCGGTCCGCCTGTAAATCGGCTTCCCAATCGGAAGGGATTTGCAGTGTTGGTTCGCGGACTCTCTCAACTTACATGAACCAACTCACTACCTTGTGCCATGTGTCTGATCAGGGTTCCGAGTGCAGACACTATACCCCTGCGCACGGCCCATCGCACATCACCGCTACAAACCACTCACAAACCCCCACGGCACTTGCTTGTCCAAGTGCGGTAATCACAATCATTATGCCGGAGATATTTTCTTTGGGTTCGTAAACAGAGTTAAGCCTGAAAAACATGTGTTTGTCAACTGCCGAAATGAGGTCCAAAAGACGTTGTTGTCAGGTACAAATTCACTAATAACAAAAAAACTAAGAAACATCAATCGTTCAGATTGACAATAATAACAAACAAGAATGGGCAAAGTATGACATGTATATTTGTTTTGCTGAGTTTAAAATCAAAGCAAACAAAACGTAAACTCGAAAAAAAATTCGCAAGCGTTGAGTACAGTTCTTCACCTTTTTGCCTTTTGTCCCTTACTGATGCTTTCATAGTAGCCGGGAAAAAAAGACGATTAAAACGAATAATCAGCAACATAGTGCCTCCTGAAGTTTTGCTTTTGTGTTTTCGGCTTCAATAAGTGTTCTGCCTTGGATGTTATTCTTTATTCATGATTAGGATTTTCGCATGTCTCATGTATTCCTGAAAATGAAAAATCGAACGTGGTTGAATTACGCCTTCTTGCGGTAACTTCTTTTAAATATCAGAAGATTTGGAACTTTGAAAACTACTAATCGAATATTATGAATTATAGCGAAATGAAAAATTGAAGAGGAACATTCATGGTCTTAAACGGATTAAAGCAAACATTTTCAGCCGTAATCTCATTTTACAGTCCATTTAAATCCTCACATAGGACATTGTTATATTTAATCTATTTCGAGTTGGAGTAGGCCCTTATTTTAAACTTGAATAATCAATGTAAGTATACCACTTTAGAAAGAAACTATTAATGTATGTTTGTGTAGTGAGTGGAAGAGTTAAGGTAAGGGTTACCTATAATATTGACTGGTCACAAATTGTCAAAAATAAAATATTTTTTAAATATGGATCTAAAACAAAAAAGGCGCCAGAAAAGAATTCCATGAAAGCCCGAATCACAGAGTTTGTAGGAAAAGTACACCATTTGAACCCTGAAAAAAATTGCAACGATCAACAAAGTTACCCCTACAGACTCGACCAAAACAATTTAATACGGATTAAGATCAAAATAGAGGAAAATGCCCCGAGAGAACAAAACAAAAGAGGAGAGGGGGAAAGGAAGAAAATGGTGTCAGTAAGAAGCAGTTGGAATTACCTCCGGGTACTTCGTCTGACATGGAAGGCTAGAGCCTATAAGGAAGGGGTCGCATGAACTTGTTCAGTAACAATCGAGACTGGGCCGGATTGGGCTGAACTAAAACCAAACCCAGACGTCCGATCCAAGCCCAACACCCAAGACAACTCTTGTATGCTAGCTTATCTTCGTATCCGATCTGCGGTGACAGAAGGTACCGGCTTTAGGCGGCCCTTTGATGCCTGAGATTTCTGTTATTAGCCCCCTCTATCTGAGTCCAAATGAGCCCGGCCCCTTCGCTTGCTCGACAGTCCGTGAAATGGACCTTAATCGACTAACGTGTGGGCCCCGCCGCAATAATACCCCTAGTTTATACTGCACAGAAATATGCGTGGTTGGGTTCAGAACAACACAAGAAAGTAATGTTAGTATTATTGTGATGATTATTAATATTTTTCCTTTGGGAGAGGGTGAGGATTTAGCAACAGTCGGATAATTGAAGGGGGGTTTGCCGAAAACTTGGCACTATTGACAAGTTGCTATTGATGCCACTAAGTTGCCCCTGGAATGCGACAGAGTTCTAAGACCTTGACAAAAATAGACATAACCTCTTTTTTCGTATCGTCCCGTGCTTTCTTTAGATGCCAGTAAGGTAAGACTTGCATCATGACTCTATGGTTCGTGTGCCCGCTGAAACACGTAATTTATATTAAGAAGATTCTTGTGGATAGCGTGATCTGAAGCATTAATTAGGAAGAAGTCGTTAGTTCAAATACCTCCTTAGCAGGCTTTTCTCTCTTGGGTGTGCGGAGGGGGGGGGTTGTTTCAATATAACTATAAAGAGTGACAAATTGACGGAAAAGAAATATTCCTGTTGCTCATGAAATGGAGGCTATTTGGAAACCGAGGCAATCCTCGCTTACTCTTCTTTCTCGAAGCAACGAACCCTGAACCATTTCAGATGGTTGTGTTCAATCAACGGCTGATGCATGTTGAGTTAAATAAAATAATGCACCCAGTTGTTTACACTTTTCTAATGCGGTTACCCTCTCCCTTGCATCCGATAACGCGTGGAGCTTGCTACGTCTCACATCCACAGGAACCCAAAATAAAGGAAACGAAAATCGTGTATCACGCCGGAAAAATTATTCACAATACACACAGTGTCACAATCGCTTTTTGACTAGTCTTGTATCCGCCAAAAAATTGAATCATTTTTTTTTATTGAAGCAAAGAAAATGCCGACTTTGTTCTGATCTGTAGACTTTATTAAATCATGCAGTACATTGTGTCTTAACGTTATTTCAATATTCCACTTTTCGTTTCTTCTTCTTCTTCTTTTTCTTTTTTTTTTTTTTTTTTTTTTTGGTTATTTTTCCCAATGTTGATACCGTCGTTATGATGCCGAGTTGCGAGAACAAACGATCGGTGCAGAACGACAGCGGCGCAAACGCGGCGCGGTTCAGCTTGTGATGTTGATCTGATAACCCGTACTTTGCTCGCGGCAAATTTAATTTGACCAACATTCAGTTTTCTCCCCTTTTCTCTCGCTCTGTGTTTTGTTTCTTCTTCACCTTACTCCTTCGCCAGCAGAATTAATAAATTGCTAATTATGATGTAAATGTCTCCACTCAGCCACAGCAACACGGCTCTTTTTTAAGGCAATAATTTCCGCTAATTTTCAACCGATCAGCGAGGCGTTGAACGTGTGTACATATATTTCTACGCGTCGTCTGACGTTCCGTTGATGGCGGTACGGCACACAAAAAAAGGCGGGAAACGAAGAAAGAAACAAAATTATGACATTTTCTCTTGCGCATCCAAGGGAAAGAGAACAGGAACCGTTGCGTGTATGTCTTCCGCTTCGTTCATTCTTCATCACCACTGGCGGCGATTGTTTGATGTGCCCGAGCAAATGATGATCTGTTTCATTAAAATCTCAGACAGAGACAGAAAAAAATCAGACCCGACACCGAAAAGTTAGAGTGAAATCTTCCGGAAAACAAATTGATGACGATGGTGGCAAATTGGTTTAGAGACGTGTTTCTGTTTTCTCAGTAATGGATGCGGCGGAATGAGCTTAGTGTGTCTTCACACTATCCGTGCGAAGATGGAAAATTATTTCACTATTATTAAAAAAAAAAAAGAACAAGAAAAATCGGTAAAATTGTTCACCCTTGGTTGGATCGGGGGAATGGCGATGGCGGCGTTTTTTTGAAGTGTGTGATTTTGTTCATATCGTACAGCGTCGAATCTGAAGCAATCAAGGCAATGTTATTAGCTGGTTTTTGGTGTATTAAAAGGCGTATAATCTGCCCTAATGGATTTGTTCATATGTGTGTTAAGATCATCAGTTATTAATATTTTGTGTTCGCATCTGGTTTCTTGGCGTTTATTGGCCTGTAGGGAGATTTCACCTGTTTCACGGACGGGTGTTGATTCCACCTTTATGATTGTCGGTCACTCAGGCGTTTACACATACGGCGGCCGTGCAGTAGTCAAAGATGACATAAAAACAAGAATCCGAGTCTAAATTGCAAACAACGATCAATATCTGATCATAGCCGTGTTTATTACTTTGGTTTTGCCGAGAATTTTTTTTTTTATTTTGCACTTTTGCATTTGATTCACCAAGGACGATGCCCGAACTTTTTTGTTTTTAATGTAATCCTTGCTCTAAAAAACCGTGGAGAACAAGCAATATTCTTAGAAGAAAGTTTCGAAATTAAAGGGTTTTTTTCTGTCTTATTCTTTTGTAGAATCTAAAAGGCCCAGGCTGGAGATTATTCGAGCACCAAGCAGTCCATCAGCAAGCTGTGCCTCCGCTTTAAGTCCTCCTAACCCCGCCTCCCCGAACCTGACAGTGGAGCCACACCCAAGGACAGACCCCGACATAATATCACAGAGACACGTTGATGAACGAGTGTCCCCACCCATGAGGCTGACCTCCCCCACGCCTAGCCCGCGGGGTGACGTGCCGTCTAGTCCCCGCTCTGAAGGTAGCGGTCGTATGTTACGGGAGGACTACACCGACCGGGACTCTTACCGAGAGCACAACGGTAGCGGGTTCGTAGACCAGCTCAGCCCGGCCCAGATCCTGAGTTTCCACGGTCGGTCTAAGGGACCTCAGAGGCCACCAGTCGATGTCTTATGCCGATTATTCCCGGCTCAGAAACGTAGTGTGCTGCAACTCGTCCTACAAGGCTGTAATGGGGACATCACTCAGGCTATTGAGCAGCTTCTCAACAACCAGAGAGACGAGCAGTCCACCACGTCCATGCCAACATCTCTACCGGTCACAGGAGCGCCAGTCACGGCAGCCTTACCGGCCAATTTCCCACCGACAGCCACCGTCACCACGGACTCTCATGGGGCTTACATCACCCACAGACCCTATCTACCGAACAGTCAACACCTGAACCCAGGCGGTATGAAGTCGGCCTTTTCTCCCCTAACCACGGCCATCCCGGTGCCTAACGTTGATAAGGCTCCTCCCACGGTAGTTGCTTCTAACATCCCACAGATGCGATTTGCTTACCCTCCCTACCCCCGGGGATTAACCCTCTGGAACCCCTACCCTCCCTCCGTCATACCAACAGCATTCGGGGTGCGACCTGCTACTGCTGCAGACTACACGTTCAGTGGAATCATGCGTGATCTCAGCAACGGCCATAGTGGGAAGGATTGTCGGCCAAACGGAACATTTGGTGTTGGTGCAACCTGCGACTAACAATTACCAAAAAAAAGTTAAATTAAAAGACTCTACTGAGAGACTTGTTTGTGGGGAAAATTAAATTATCTAAATGTCTTATCAACTTTCATTGCCATTCAACTTGAGTTAAGTTTCAAATTATCTCACTTTCTTGCAGTTCCCGGTGAGCCTAACATCCAAAAAAATAATAATAACTTGCCTTGACAATGTCTAATACCCGATAAACGTGCAGATTCATTAAAAAATATGTTTTAGAACGACATCAGCATTGATGAAGGCCTAATCACTACCCTAATCACTACCCTTAGCACCCCCCCCCTCCCCCTAGATACATGGACGCGAACCCTGACACACTTTTGCCAAATACCAATGCTCTCCTTTTCAGGTAGTTGGCGTGCATTTCTTCTTATTGTCAACCTAGAAACCCGCACAATGTACCGGTTTTTGCTGATGTCAGTCCGCATCTTATTTCGTTTAAATGTAGAGTCCATTGCATCGACAGAGTACGAACTCGTTTCTTCGCACCTGCTAACATGGACTTATCCACCAAAATGAAATGGAATTCTTCCTAATGTTGTATGAAGGGCGGGCGTTTGAAAACCTAATGGTGTTGGTACCAATTGACCAATCTACTTTTACACAGTCTGTGCTAAAATCGACTTTCGTGCAGATAAACGCTTCCTCTATTGCTATTCTGCACTGTACGTATATTAACTGTGACAGAGTATTATTGAACATAACGTTGCACTATATTGGTAATATGATCCGAGTAATTCTCACAATAATTATTTGCATGTAGAAAACACTGAAATGTAACGACGCACACTCGATGATTTTGCGAAGATTCACAATTTAATGATCTGCACTGTAAATATCGTAACATTCAATGTAGCATTTAATGAACAACCTACACAGTGCACAGCATGAAATATATATCTATATATATTTCTTATGTTGAAATTGTCTGACATGTTCCCCAATTCGAGTCTGTTCTTTGTACACTTTTATATTTTTAAGTGAGCATTTACTTTTCGTACGTGCTTCAACTTAAACTTCGTTAATGGAAATCAAGTGTTTAGAATTCAAAGACAATAGAAGGGGGAGACATGCATCCCTCATTCATAAAATGTTGTTATACACCTCCAACTGATACCGAGGTTAGGTTAACACTATTGCAGACGACGATCACAAACTGAAAAAATCAGGGATGTTTTCTTTATTAATACGTACAGTTGTCTTCACATTACTGAAGACGACATTAAACTTTACAGGGTATTTCTCAGCTAACTAAAACAAATTTGGAGGGGTTGTTTTATCGTTTAATTAACGAAATATCCCGCCAACACATAAATACCTTTTATTATTTTAAAATCTCTCCACCTAACTAATTTTGTATTGTTTGTATTCTTTCAGAATTGTAAATGTACATGTATGTATATAAGTAAGAAGTTAATGAGATCTAACGACTGTTTTGTGGAAGTAATAATGTTATGAGGGTTGTGTTTTTGTTTCCACGTCAAAATCAACATAAATAGCTTGATCGATCCAAATGGTCCTAAACAGCTGGGTTTTACTAGGTTTAAGACTTTTCTATAAGCTTTACTCTGTAAAGGGATAAATGTATATTTCATTCCCAAGGAATATACCCGATAACGGCAATTTATAAACAAATAGCCTATATATATATATATATATATAATAAAAGCAATTGCGAACATGTTTGTGCAAATGGTCTTAAGATGCTGTCTGAAATTCCT